AAATGCGATATCTGACTTTCTTGTCAAACTATGTTGGCATGTGTATTAGCATTTTAGTTTCTACCTAGAACATGCTTTAGAAACAAGTCTCGTAGTTGTCCTCAGTTTCCACTCTTTGGTTCACATCATGGAGCAGTTTCAGAGTGCATGAACTGAATTCATTTTGACTGAAACTAAACACAAGTGCTTCAGAAACATGCCTAATGCATTTGATCTGCTAATGGGTGTTCAATCCGCAGGAGCGGATTAAGCTAGGCCAAAGTGCTCTCTCAGTATAGTGTAGACGTTGGGTCCACTGCACCAACTGCTTTGCTCTGCAGAGTTGCTGCTATTGTCTTGTGCTATCTGATGACGTACACGTAACCAATATATTAATTTTTCTTCTGAAACTTTGCTCACTTTTTTAAGAAGCAAAGCTACATAATTAGGCAGTTCAAAATGCATTCCTGTAATATATAAAAAGACACTCAGAAGTCCACTAAACTGTTAATTTTCTCATGGGATCAGAGAGAAAAGGAAATCGGAGATTTACAAAACGAACTGCAGATTGTATCAGAAGAATATATACTATTAATAAATGGAATCATTCAGTGTATACTATAATTTATTTGATGACAGCATAAGCTAACTCAGCGGAAAATTTTAGCAAACAGTGATAATGAAAATATGTAGAACAGTTTGACAGAGCTTATGTTTTTTTCCCCAGTGACAACTTCAAACACAATTACCCAAGTTGAACAGGAAGTTCTGAAATCCTTATTTAAACATCTGGTTTCTATCTGCTGGAGATAACAGGCCTTTTTAAATACCATGCACTGTGAACAACGTGTCCACATACTCAAGGAAGAAAAAAGGGTTACTGACTTGACAGAAAATGATTTTTTATTAAGATGATGTCTATAGATGGATTTAAGGACCTGCCTTCCTTCCTCGACAGTCTTTCATATGAATTCAGCATGGAGAAGGAACTGAGGACAGTGTTCAGACTATTTTATTCATGCCCTCAGGAGCAGGACCATAAGGACATGCAATATTCTTGTGTTCCCTAACAAGCAGTATTTGTCACAGAAAACTTTGCTAGCTGAAAACTTCCCATGCTTCAAGAGTGGTGAGAACTTTTTGAAGAAACAGTTACTGCAAGGTAGTAGCAGTATTAAACACTAAACTCTAGAAAAACCACATTAAGACCACAAAGTCCAACACTCAAAAGATAGACAGTGGTAGAAATAAAAGTATCTGAGTACTCCAATCTGCTTGCTCCTATTCCCCATTTCACACACCTACTCCTCTGCATGAGTATCCTACTCATTAGTCACTGGATATCCACTTCATTTAGTTTGCAATGTGTATTTGCTTTGAGGATGAGTTAGCAAGTTATGTGGCTAATTAGAGATGGATCTGTAAAGCAAAAAAGTTGATGCTGAAGACCAAATGTCCTCACTATACACATTTCAGGGGGAAGGGATGAGAACTTCTTTGGACTAGCTCTAATCTGGTCCCATGCACTGAATAACCATTATTGGCTGCAACACGTTAATGGTAGGAAGTGGCTGGACACTGGACGTTGTCCAATTTCATTTTGTCCAAAAGGAATATAGTTCACACATTCCAAGACCTCTTTGTGCTATGAAGAAAAGCATGGGGAAGATTAGGAGATTTGTTTCAAAAGTACCCTCCTGTTCCAAACTAAAATGCTAATAAAGAAACACCCTTCATGCACTACTCAGACACAGATGGCTGCTTGTAGGATCTTTTCTTCATATGTTGTTTTCTTTTCTTTATATATTGTTGAAGCTGAACCTGTGAAGAAGTTGGAAGATGTGCAGAAAATAAGGCAGGATATTGAGAAGGTTTTCTGCTTTGCATAGTTAAGACAGTTCAATGTTGTCTTGGAGAAACAGATTTATCACTGCTTCTGCTACAAATTTTAATGAAATTATTGAAATTAGATTACTTGGCAGTGGCCTCAAATTTATTTTGTATCTAACCTGAGACCATTTGCAGAAATGCTCAGTATTCACAGTCCCAGTTAAATTTAGTTGCTACACCTGACAAATGCACCTGCAGGACCATCTTTTAGAGCAAGCACCTTATCTGCGTTGTCTGCAGGCAGACTTCAGTACATTTGAGGCAGCTATTTGGACAATTACAGAAATTAAAGGTGAGCAGGCAGCAGAGCATACTGTACCCATGCAATGGAGTACAGTACACTGGAGTACTGTTGGAGTACATTAGAGACTGCTCTTAAAGAGTAATGTAAACATAGCCAACGGAGCTGTGCTTCCTAAAATTAACCTATTATGTAATGCTATGTTACAATTTTTGTAGTCTTTATATTCTTGCTTTAATATAGTTTCTATGTGCAATTACAGAAACAATAATATGTTTTCAGAGTTTCTGAGGCCCACTTTTACATCTATTGCTTGCAAAGGATGAGCTAATACCAGTTAAGGGGGGATGTTATCCTTGACTGTGGAGAAGGTGACTCCTGGTATTGCCAGCCCTCAGTTTGTGCCTTTCTGCTTGATGTAAAGTTGTCTCAACTCTAGGGAATTACCCAACCCTGAGCAAGTGGAAAATATCGCAAAAGTATGCCAAGCAGGTATTTTATATATAGAATAGTACAGTAAAGTGTAGCAAATGAGTTTACTTTGTTTCTGTGGGATTAAACTGAATGAAGACAGTAACCAGTACCTGGACAGCTTCATTTGATCTTATTTAGTCAAAAAGCAATAGATACATCATGCAAATCTTTCTTTCTTTCAGTTTTTCATTTGTGTGAATTTTCTTTTTATCAAGGAAATAGAATTAACTGAGGAGGAAGAAGCAATTAAAGCAAATTTAACAGAAAATGAGGTATTGCCTCCAGAAGTACTTGACAATATTGTTCTTGACTGGTGGAGGAAAGAGCCATTTCGGTAACTTTAAGTAGATTCTCTCTTTCTTTAATTAATCTTAAGAAATGTATAATCCATTATGTCTACAGTTATAAATAACTATTGCAGACATTATTTCAGACGCTCTTGTACTTATGAAACATGACCTACATCTCAAGTTTTTGGTATGCAGTTTTGATTGAAATTCTGATAGTAAAATAACATTTTACATGCTCTACACAGTGCTGGACAAAAGTACTTAGTGCACTTGAACTGGATTAAATCCTTTGAATAGCTGGTCATGCCTATCTTCCCTGCAATAGCCATGTAGTTCTGGTAGGCCGATGGGATAGCTATGTAAATACACGTTTTATGTTTTCTTGTGGTTAATAAACATAGAGAGCTGGAATCCAACTGTAACTATGTGGTTTCCACATATTATAAATGTTATGTGAAAATCAAAGACAAAATATCAATGGCCTCCAAAAAGACACAGAATCAGTTATCTTTTGCGTATTCATCACAATCTCTACTCCAGTTAGTAACCACAACTGACAGCCTTTCAGATCACAAAGTACATCTGTTGTGCCATGATAAATATGGAATATTTTTGCATAAATAAATCAGCTACATTACTTCTACAGGGTAGACTGGCTTTTTAGGACATGCTCTCAGCAGGCGAAATCCCTTTTTCCATGTCCTAGCTATTCCTTTCACTTCCATACAGATCGTAGATGCTGGAAGCTTGACCGTTAGGTTGCAAGCCCTAGCAGTATGAGAAATGTGTTAAAAATAACAAATGAGCTCCTCAAATAAACTTTTGTCTTATCAGCCCACAGATAGGAAGATAACGTTCTCTTAGCTGTGTAAAAATAGGAAGGTGAGGTTTAGGAGAAATGAATGCACCAGGACAAAAAGATACCCAATATTACATATAATGTTATGACATTAAATTATTATATAAATCAGTTTCCTCAAGGACTGTATGGTAAAGGAGAAATACATCATGATGTATTTCATGATATATGTCCTCCCTCCAGCTTTTTCCCTTAGCATCCAGGACCAGCTGTTCTTCAATCCACTCCCACTCCTTAGATTTCCTTTGGTTTTCTACAGTTTTAAAATGTCTTGTGTTAAGGTCTATTAATTCTAATAATCCTAATTAATTCTAATTTCTATTAATAAATAGAAATGTTAACTTCTCATTAACACAACATTCAGTTTTATGGGTCTACTCATCTAATGTGAGAGTGAAAGAGTTCCAACAAGCCATAGAGCTTTCCAGACATGTTTGACCTGTTTTTAATATTTGCAGGAAAGGAGAGGTATGTGATGCTGAGTGGCAAAGTTCTCATCCTGTATTGGAGAAGAAATTGTCAGGAATTTCTCAAATATAAATTGTCAGGCAACAAACTTTCTGTGACGGACCTTACCAAAATAATATTTGGGGTGCCTTTACATGGTTTGAGAGCAGTGGCTACAAAGTATATTTTTTAGGGTCACACAAACAATATTGAAGATACATTTCATTTTGGTTTAAGAAGTTATTTTTAAATAATTAACCTCAGCACATTAAAACCTCAGAAGAGAGAAATATATTTATTAGTACAACAATTTAAATACACAGTGAAATGTCACTTTTGCATTCTGAAGAGCAATAACACATGAAAGTATTTTTTATTTACTATTAAAATATACTTTTAACAAGGGAGTTTAAAATCATTTTTGAAAATTCACTCCATTTTCACTGTTGCACTTTAAACTACATTGCGTAATGATAAATATCTTCTTTTGCGATCATCAGATCCACAGGATTTATATTGGATGGTTTCCCTCGTACTGTAGAGGAAGTCCAGTATTTGTCAGAGCGAGGACTCTGTCCTGATGTTGCAGTTTATATTCAAGTAGAAGAAAGTGACATTTTTAACCGTCTTTTTCCTCCACGTCTGAAAAAATGGAGAGAACGACAATACAAAAAAATGGAAAATAAAAAGAAACTGAAAGACCTGAAAGCAAAAATAAGGGTAGGTTTTCAGCCCTGTCTACTTATTTGTAATTTCAGAAACGCAGGTCCTAATACAGATTCTAAAACTTCCAGTGCAGTAAGGAGCACACAGAGAAGCAGATAATGGGAGCCAGGAGCCACAGCCTGACACTTTCTCAGCTTTCTCAGATTTACCATGGGAACTGAAGAGACTTTAGCGCTCCTCTCCTGCTCTGCTTCTTCCACGTTAGCACCGCTCAGTGCAGTTAATTTGTACAGAAGTTTTAGATACCTAGCAGCCCAAGCAAAGCAACTGTGTTGTTAGACAACAGGCAGTCTTCTGGAAAGTCCCGGACAAAAGGCAACTAGATGGAGAGACTGAATACAGCCATAAAAAATCAAACACACTGCTCTAGCGCAGTACTGCTATTTCACCCTGGATTCCCTGAGCGTGTGCTATTGAGTTGATCTGTATCTCCCATAGGCTTACTTCACAGGCACAGTTTAGTGTATGTGCCTGTATTTCCAACTATGTTCCCAACCTGCACAGAAATGTGAGAGTGCTAAGCCACACTCTCAGTGTTGTTGCAGCTGCACAGTCTCCCACCTGAAATAATTTGAAAATGCTATGCAGATATTTACAGTTGCACATATGCAATGTATTCAAGGTTCCTAACTTCCTAAAGAAGTGAGATATAGTACTTCACGTATACTATCAGAAAAGGCCTGAAGATAAGTTACTAGAGAGCAGCTGATGCACAGTAAGTTAATGCAACGGAGTTTGGGACAAGGCCCATATGATATCAATAGGTTATATGAACTGCTTGTGCCAGAGATTGTGTCTCTGAAAATGCATATAATACATGAGAGTTCAGGTATTTCTTTGATTCTGTATTTCCTGATGCAAGTTGGAAACCTCAGTGGAAAAGGTGCATTCTAGTGATGAACTTGTACTGCTGTACTAAGCTCACCCTGTAAGCTGTTACTCTGATAACTCAAGTGGCAAATACCTGTGCTATGAATCCTGAGGTATAGACATCAATATGGCTCCTCATGACAAAGGAAAAAAACAGACTGTTATTTAAAACAAACACACAAAACAGCTGTACGAATCGATCAAGGCATAAAGACCACCACTTACAAGTAAGAAAAGGCCAGAATTAGGATTTCCTGAGTAATGGTAATTTAATCTTTTTACTTATGAGTATTGCGATATAGTTTTTAATTACACATTGAATATTTTTCCATGGCATCCTTTCGGTCCGTCAGTGCACAAGTCAGATGGTGCTGAGAGAATGCAACGCTGCTGGGTGGTGCCATTATCTCATTTGTTACTGAAGTTGCAGGGCATATAGAGAATCTGGGAAATGCAGGCAGGGCAGTTGAATGCTGCTCTAGAGCTTCCTTGGCCACTGAAAGAAGCCACCAATAGGACACACAGCAATGAGTACGTCGCCAATGCGGTATCATTCAGCAATGTTTAAATAGTCACACGATTAAAGAAAATTAGCCTGTGCAGAGCTTCTTGCTGCTCTGCCCAGAGCGGTCTGGTATTCAGGACATTTTGTTTAGCGTTAATATGTGTTTCTAACATTGTGCCATTGCCTGCAGTGTTGACGTATTCAGCTTCTCTGATCTCAGTTCAGATGACCAGGACCACAGTGCGCAAGAACAGCAATTACAGATTGAATCCTCATTAGGCCCCAATGGCCTTGAATGGAATGGAATGCCTCCAGGTGTTAGAATTTAGCCATTGTGTATTTGACATATATTTACTGAGTAGGTATGGATGAATATATTTTAAGTACTTAAAACTTGGTCAAAATTGAGCAATTTTAAAAAGGCTTAGGAAACAGTGCACATTTAATACTAGGCTCATTGATCCCTTTGTCAAGCGGCAGAAACCAACTATAGGAAACTCTGTAGCTTAGTAACAGAAAGATTATAATAATATTTTCACTGCGATCAGAATCAGTCCCTTTTTCACCCTAATCTCATTCTCAGAAGTTGCCAAGTTAGTTTTGCAGAAATTTACAAGCATATTCACCCAGAGGCATATCTGCTCTGCCGAATTTCCAGCTGCATACCTAGTATTTTTCTGACATTAGAAGCAATGGGAAACAGAGTTATAAAGCAGAAAAGGATGTCATTTCCAGGACAAGTTACTAATTCTACCCATTGTAAGTACAGAAGAATAAATCTAAAAATTGTAAAACATTTTATATCATACTGCTGACTAAATCATATTATTCATCCTAATAAAGGATAAAACTCACCTAATAAGTAAAGGTGAGTTCCACTTCAGATTTCTCAGAGGAGAGCTTTTATTAGCAAATACTATTATTTTCTCAGGCTTTTTTTTTCACTAACAGGATGTGAAGATTGCTAGAAGAAGGACAGAACTTTTAGCAGAGCAAAAAAAAAAGAAGCAGGAGGTAAGAAAACAGGTTAATTAAAAATATTTACAATGGAAATGTTTGTATTTATATCTTTTAGAAATTTCTAGAGTTTTTAGTCACAGAGTTTTAAGGGCAATTTAGAACAGTAAAAATATAATAGATCATCAGAAAGTTCTACTTTTCAAAATAATTTGATGATATGTTTTAATTGTTTTAGAAACTGATGACTCATCAACACTAAAAACAATTTTAAAATAATTCTTCCTGTGAGCCCCAGTTCAGCAAAATACTTATGAATGTGTTTAGCATATCTAATTTATAAGCATAAGAGTAGCCCCAGTCATCGCAGAGTACTGTCATTTGACAGTACTCTGTCAAAACCATTATTAACTCGAATAGGACGGTACCAGGATTTCTGCCCAAACTCAATTACAAAGCATATTTATATTTGCACTGATGGACTACTTGACTGCTCCTGAAACGTTGTGAAGTATGCTTTCAGCCAGCCAGCTTGTTTATAACAAAGTCCTGCCAAACTACAATACCAAATATGTAAAAAATACCCCTCTCAACAAAAATGCAATGCAGCGTTGCCGTTTTTTAAGTGCTGTTGGAATCGGCACAGTGCTTCACTGCGTGCATTTTGAAATATCTGTGTTTTCTTCTGAAATATTATTCTGGAAGTTACTAGATTTTTGCTTTAGATAAGCTACCCAAAAAAGGGAGTTTCTGTTGAACTGTGATTTCCCTAAATAAAAGAAAGGCAGAAATACTATACGTTCCTTCAAAACATCTTTATCATAGACATGAAACAAGTCAATATTTTACATTTATGTTTTAACAAATAAGGAATATGATAAAACCAGTGAAGATGAGGATGAAAATGAGGATATTGAAGCTAAACTTGAAGAAGAGTTTTTAGAAGAAGAAGAAGCAGAAGAAGAAGAAACTGAAGAACAGGAGACTGATGCTCTTGAACGTATACGACATGAAATTGCAGAAAAGTTTGATTCAGAAAGAGATAATTTACAAGGTGTACAGGTACTTTATTTTATTACTTGTATCATGATAGGAGGCAAGAAGAGTTTTTGGTTTATTTTAGTGCTCAGATTTGAAGGTTACAGTGTTTGAGTGATACTATTGCTGAACTCATGATGATCTGAATATGTCAGCAAGATGACGGTATTGAGCAGGTATATATTTTACAGAGTATATAACTTATAAGACCAAGTAATATTGTTAGAAAAAAAAAAACAAACAAAAATTTGGGTAGACTCACTCAGTCTTGGGGGGGTCTTTATTTCCTTTTTAATAGGCCAGTTGGTGCTGGCAACCAAACTAAAGGACTGTACATATATGAACAAAATTCCATATGTCCTTTTTAAGTCACTACCCTTATTAGACAACCCTACATTTTTTATGTAGTTGTTATTAACATAATCTTATTGTGATCAGTGGGTATTTTATGTGTTTAAATAGTGAAAGAAACAAGGATATGATATATTTCAAATGTAAATGTGGACTCAGTCAGATTTCAGGTTTTGCATAGAAAATCGAAACAGCCTAGAGTACAAAAATCAGATCAGAAAATAAAATCCATTTACTACAGAGCAAATATTTAAGTACAGCTATACTCTCAGATCTGTGTTTCTGAACTCAATGATATCTACAGTGAGATAATCTCATCTAACTCCAGATATGTGCAGTGTAAATGCCTATGTCTATGTAAGTAGATTGGTGCCATTCATTTACCCTACTCCAGGCATCTTACTTTAGGAGGAAATGAACGTGATTTAGAACCTCTCTCCAGTGACCAGAGAGAAAGTTTACAAAAATAGCCAAGATGTAGATATAAGATTTGGAAAATGAATCTACCTTTATCAGCACCATAAGTGTAATTGATCCAAGGTTCATTTTATTTTACTAGTTAATGGATTAAATGTCAGGAGAATCAAGAATAAACTCCTAATTTTCTTTGCACTTCAAGCAAGTATAAGCTGTGTGGAAAAGATTAATGTTATGCGTCCAGAGATTCACCCTTTCCATTAATTTTGGAGGAAGGTGACTTGAAAGTACGTTCAACTTTGAAAAGTGACTGTAAAAATGTTGTATCTTTACTGAACATTTTTATGAACAATACACAAGATTATGTATCGTAATGATAATCAAAACATATTTTTATGGGTTCAGAATGAAGCCTGTGGCTAATTTCACTTTCCGAGTATAACCTGGATTTGAAAGCTGGAATTAGAAAGAATTTAGGATAAGGCCACTGAAAGACAATAAACAAACCCTGTAACAGCCTTGACATAGGGAAAATTCTAACCCTTTCCATAAGCAATATAATGTCTTCAGTTAAAGCTAATGAAATACTAGAGTTCTTGGAAGATTTTCCATTTTCCATTCTGACATTTGGGAGTTTGTAGTGTGTCACAGTAGTACACTGATGAGAAATTTGATCAGAAAAGGAACGAGCATTTAAGAGAGCAATGTTTGTTTCTTTCAAGAAGTACATAATCCTCAGTGACAACAGAGGTATCTAGTGTTTTAGAAACTGTTATTATATTGAGTCCTGCTTATGAGTGGTACTGGAAAGCTCCGAGACTGTGGAGCTACATAGATGTTACATGTAAGTTGAGGAATTACACACTAACAGTATCGTATAGCAGAATTTCATATTGGTACTACATGTTACTAGTACCCCCAGTTATAGCTTACTCAATATTTTTCCATTATTTTTTGATTCCAAGAACATTTAAGCTTCTATAAATAACTTTAAATTCTGATTCATTATTCAGGACTTGTTTATTTTCATCTGTTCCTTTAATTGTGGGTCCTCTTTGGCATTATGGAACCTTGGTCTCTCATGAAAGAATAAATTATGACATTAAAACATTGTAGCACTTGTAAAAGTTTAAGGTACCTAGAAAAAACTCTGTAGAAAATAGCATATTTTTACAGTTTAGCTGAATCATCTGAGGAATAATAAATTAGCAGACAGCAGCAATGGTTTTAGACAGTAGCTAAACAAACCATTGTAAATTGTGGGGGTGGGGAAAGAATGATATTTGATTACTTCTTATAAAAGATACCTCTTAAACTTTACTTTTATCATAGTAGATTCCTCAAAGTCAAATATAGTCTTGACTGTAACCTAAATGTAAAAGTGCAGGAAGGCCAATTCATCTCATGTTAAATCAAATTCCACTGATTTACAATGACTGACAGCGCACTCAAGAAATCCTTGATAGTGCACAGAAAATATTATTGCCACTCATCATTACAAATCTGATCATGTTTATGACTTCAATATTTCATTGTGTTTTCATTACCTAGGAAGAACTTGAAAAACTGTTAATACCTCAAATCGAGATTGATGGAGGACGGAAGCCTCGCATCGTATGCTACCAAATATATAAAAAGCTGAATCCTTTAATCGAAAATCGCGGAAGCATTTTTGAGCAGTGTTACCCAATAAGTTTGCCACTTGCACATAAGATGATGGTTTTCTCATATAAATATCTAAGTTCTTTCCGTCAGTGGGATCCAGTCAAGGTAATTTTTTTTTTTAATAGCGAAAGAATATTTTCAGAAGTAATACTTTTAAATAATATATTTCACATAAAACAAGAAAATATTATGAAACAGTTTAAAGGAATTCCAGCAAAAGTTAATGACAACTACATTATTCAATCCAAACTATATCACTGAATATATAAAAAATAGAGCAAGCATTGATAGTAAGACCCATTAGTTTTTTCAGTATTACAGCTAAACAGAGGCCGAGTGGCATTTAGTAAAATTTGTTACAGCATTAGCAACACAATTAAAGGTGGCACTGAGCCAGAAAAAAAATGCCTAATTCTTACAACAGTACACATAGGGCAATAACACAGAAGTTCTTAAAGCCTTTCAGAAACACTGAAAACAAGCTGAAAGGATTTGGGTTTTAAATTTGTGAATTGGATGAACTTGAGGAGAGGTAGAGCAGGTGGCTGACAAGCCTGTCAGTGGCAAAAAAGTAAATTGACAAATGTTAAGTGTATGTAATCCATCCGCAATAATTGTTTGTTGTTAACGTTTACACATTTTGAAGCGCAATAAATCTAATTCTAAAGTATTTTACTAGAGATCTGGAAAGTTCAGGTCAGAAAGTACTCATGTCTAGTCCGGAAAGTAGGCTCATGCCATTTGTTTCTGTTTGTAATAATAGAAATAAAAGCAGGTTGGACTGTGAATGAATCAAAAATATATATATATATATAAAAGAAAGCCCAGTGAACAGGAAACAGAAAACAAGAATGTTCCTGAATGAAGCATACTTCAGCTTTCATTCTGCTCTGCTAAATGCTGCTAAATAATCAAGTCATTTTTAATCCTGTTTGTATAACGATCATGTTGGTCTTTGTCTTCACCTGTTCTAGACCATGTTTCTCTTTCTTGAACCTTGGCAATCAGAACTGTACAGAGATCAGATCTTATTAGGGCTTTATATAATCAAAATGCTGCTTAAAACATTTTAGGATCACAGTTGCCTTTTCCACGGTTGCATCAAATTGACATCTAATAATCTAATAATCGATTAGTACAAGAAGATATTTCTTCTTTTCTGTCATTTCCATTTCAGCTTACAACTGAACTCCAGCTTATAAATGAAATTCTTATTAGCCCGTACATGCTAAACCTTGCACTTTTTCTTATTAAATTTCACTACATTTTTTTAATTCCATTTCTCCAGTTCAATATACTGTATAGTGTCTCTTACCAAATAAAAAAATAATTCAGTCAGACGAAAGAAAGAAGTCCAAAAAAGCCACTAGATGAAATCAGGTTGGTGTGCTGACAGTGGGAATTATAAATGATGATAATAATGAAAGGGAAATAGGGTCATTTTGAGTGTATTTTGGGATATAATAGAAATAATGAAATTGATTAAGGACTAGAGGGTCTTTGTAGAAGAGCAGGTAGAGCACATACCAATTACTTTTAGATTAAATTTAGGAAAAAATATAAGTAGTTATGGAAGAGATTAGATAAACAAAGAATAACAATGATGAGCTGAGGGAGAAATGTGAGCACCAAATATAGAGTAGAGCAGACTCTTGATATCTTATAAATTGAGGGCAAGCAGTCTGAAATGACCTGATGCAGAAATAGGAATTTAAGGATTAGAGAAGGGCCTGGCAAGGTAATACAGTACAGTAGAACATTCCCTTATCTACTGTAACAACCCGACCATCTTATCTGCATGCTTGCTGACTCCTTTAAAGAACACTAATAGACTTGTGAGGTGTGATTTCCCTCTGCAGAAGTTCAGCTGGCTTTTTGCCATTATTTCATATGTGTACGTGTACCTACTAGTTTTATTCTTTATCATATTTCCAAACAATTTGCTCAGTATAGGAGACAAATTTGCTGGACTGTGGTAAACAGGATCCATCCTGGAGGCCTTTCTAAAAATTGGTCACTCTCTCCACCTTTCTCTTTTGTGGCAGGAAGGTCAATGTAAGCACTAGGCTAGACATCAGTTAGTAATTCAGCAGTTTCGGTTCTGAACCCCGTTAGAAATGTAAGGTGAACACCATCTGGTCTCGGCAATTTTTTTCTACAGATCTCACCAATTTGTACTAAAATATCTTCTACTGACCCTTTAAGGCAGTTCCTTCAAGAACAGCTGCAATAGGGACATACCTAAGTTCTTCCTTAGCGAAGAGTGGTGCAAGGAATTCATGTAGCATTTCTGCAATGACCATTTCTGCCTTTAGTGCTCTTCTTACATCTCAGTTATCCCTCGGCACTATAGACTTTCTAGCAGGCTTCCTGATGTGTTTGAAAAGGCTTCCTGATGTATTTCTATTTTAACAAAGCTTTTTTGGCTTGTCTTATTGTGGTTTTTGCATTTCACCACAATGTAAGTATTGATGTTCTTTTCTGTTTTCTTCATTTGGGCATGACTTCTGCTGAGTACAATATTCCCAGGATATCTTCTACTGTTCGCCAGACAATATAAGTGTTTCTTAATTCACGGAGGAATAAAATAATTTTCTTTATCCTCAGTAGAAATGGTGTTAATTCTCTAAAAGTTAAAAAAAAAAAATCCATCACTCTGATTGTGGTCTCTTCATGGACAGAAAGTGTTATGGTACCACCTACTGGAAACAGTGAATATTCTTTCTCTTTTTAATGTTTACCTTATTATTTTGTACAAGAATTACATACATACGGAAGTTCCTCAGACTCATATAGGACATTATGTCTGAGGGGTGGTATTTCAGAACCTTGTGATGCCTTGCTTCCAGTAGCTGGTAGTCGTCTACCTGCCCATGCAGCCTCTTCTGCAGGATGGAAGAAGAGGAGGCTATGTCAAGCCTAATTAACTGTTTCCTATTTTGTATATGCTACAGCTAAGTGAAGGAGATATAATCAAACTACCCCAGAGCCATGAAAACCCAGTCTATCCTGTAATCCATCGACAATATATTTATTTCTTTTCAAGTAAAGAAAATAAAGAAACATTTATGAAAAATCCCATCAAATATATTCGTCAGCCAAAACCTAAACCAGCTGTGCCAATTAAGATTGCAATTGTAGGACCTCCAAAATCTGGGAAGACTACAGGTAGGAGCCAATATTATCTGTAAGACAGAAGATGGCACCGAATCTGAGCTTGTATTATTTATAACTCTTGCTTATTTCTGATTATTTTCTAATTGTTTCTTGTTTCCTTTAACCAATATGATGTAACATAAAATGAGGAAACATTCCTAGGATCAAGGACCAGAACCCAAAACACTACATTCTCCAGCCTGTTTCCTAATTTCTAGATTATGAAACAGGATTTTCCCTCTCTCTTCCCCCTCCTTTTCTCTGTCTCCCTTCATGACTCTCTCAAGCCACAGGTCTCTGCCTTCAGCCAGAGGAGAAGATTCAGCTTACATCAGAGCTTAATGGTTAGGACAGGGTGTTAGAAATGGAAGAGATGGGTTTAAGTCATTTCATATTAAGGAGGAAAGTATAACCATATTTCCTACTTCCTGGATAAGTGATCTAACAGCTAAGCTGTTCTGTGGGCAGTGGTAGCATATTTTCTAACATATTTTCAAATAAAATTGATAATGGCTGCTGTGCTTTGTGCTGAATTGAATGCTATTAGTGCATTAGGCATGCACTGCACAAAGCTAGAGGACCGGGCCCTTTAGCCCCTTAAGCAGGTTTAGGTACCCGCTTAGCAAGATTCTGCACTGGAAACAAGCCAGGGTATGAGATGAACGCTTAGTTTCCAAGGCTGAGGACTTAGTTTAACAGACTGCTAGGTTGCGATTTTGCTTATGTGAAAGTTGAGTGTTGAAGTCTAAATGTTTTGCAGTTGCCAAGAAATTTGCAAGTGTATATGGATTACTGCGCCTCACTATGGGAGATGCCATACGGCTCGTGTTAAACGAGCAGCCGGAAAGTGAGTTGGCACTTATGTTAAAGTGGCATCTTCATAAAGGACTGACTGTACCTGACGAACTGGCTGTCCAGGCTCTCGATGTGACTCTGATGAATCAGATGTGTACTACCACTGGGTAAGAGTCTTGTCTGGGTTTTGAGGTTTTTTTTCAGCGTACACAGCCCTTTCATAGGCAGTGATTCTCATGTTATCACTGTGAAACAAACTGTTTCAGTAAAACACATCAATGGTTTATTCATTAAGAAAATAATTTGTCTGTCCAAAACGAAGTGTAAAATAGGCTCTGCACATTACTCTGGAAAAGCAGCCTGAAACATAATTTTCTGCGATGTTCAAGTAAATATGTTCCAGTAAATTCAAGTAATATGTTTTATGAAAATTACCCTTTTTCAGCCAGAAGCCACTATTTTATTATCCATTGAGAAGTGCCATTTTATCTCTCTTATAGCCATTCTTGTACCAGCTCAGACTGATCTGATTCTCTCCAGTAATGCACACTGGTAGTTCAGTACTCCAGCTTTTTTCTGATTTTGTTAACAGTTGAAGCTATTAAGGAGGAGCAGAAAACTGATTCTTTCCACTTCATTTCTTAGGGGATATATAGATTTCTTAGGCTCTATCCCCAACACGTGTCAAACTGGGCTAACTCGAAGAAGCATTTTGTTTCATTATCAATTTAATGACCTTCAACTCCTCTCCTTAAAAAGGAGAATTTTTACAGAAAAAGGCAATTCCAGACCAATCTCTGAAAATTATTTGAGCTTGAGATTAGAATTCTTTCAACTTTTCTTTCATGTTAATTATTGGAATATTGTTTCAGAATATTTTGCCCTAGTATTGCACAATATGTGAAACAAGGTTCTTTTTCAATGTGTTTTGGAAAATGGTTCAAGCACTGTAAATTATTTTATTTTTCACTTTGAAAACTACTTCTCCTAATCCATATGAAAATTTCCCAGAGTTAAAACTAAACTACTGCATAACTGATGCGTGAGAACTGAAAACTCCACCATTTTGGTAAGTCAGAGCTGTCCACTTTCTGTTCCTATAACTTTTACCCATTGTGTATTTCCTTTGCTCTTTACCATTTCTTATTCCATCTACTTACAATTTTTTAATTTTAATTGATTGTAAATTCTTTGGGGGAAGACTGTGTCTAATAAATCAGGGCAGCACTGAACTTAATGGCATGGGAGTAGACTTTTGTGTCTATTGAGAATGTATGGTGAATATTTGGAGCCTTGATAACTGACTAGGAACCAACCCTTTAGAAAACCTGTCTTTCTGTTTCTGTTTGTGTGCAGAGTTGTTATTGATGGATATCCTCTAACAAGAAAACAAGTAAACCTTTTGGAATCATTTAGGATAATTCCAGTGAAAATCTTTGAATTGGAAATGGATGCAAAGGAAGTGTTCAGAAGAGCACTGTCGGATAAGGAAAGCACGAACAGGTAGTGATGCTCCCTGAGAGCCATATTTTTACCAACACAATATTGTAATCTCTCTCTCTACGTAGCGCTATACCTCAGTGCTGTACCCTGAGAGGCTGTTATCTAAGTTGGTGGATCTAGGAAGGCTTTCATGCTCTTGGATGCAGGTGGATATCCCATGGGCCTCCCAACTCCGCATACTGTGGAAAAGGCATGGGTGCTAGTGCCTCTACAATTTAATGCTTTGATTTCCATAGACCAGAAACTGAGACATACTGGCCAGAGGAAGCTGCAGCACGCTGTGGCCAGATTCCCAGCATGGCGGACTGAGGACACAGAAGTGCAATGGTGTGCACCCAATGCTAAGTTTAATAGCAGTTTTTGTGAAACTGCGTATCAGAAATGTTACCAGTTCACTCTGCTGCTGAGGCTTACTATTCATCAACCCAGTTATTGTAATCATAGAAGAAATTGATACTTTACCTGACAAACCTTTTTTTCTTTAAGTCTTAACTGTAGTCCTTTTTAAAAGATAGGAGCAATGTATATTTTAATAACATGTATACAGTTCATGAATTACTCATCTAAACCTTTCAGTTCAGATAGCTTTCTTCTTTGTTTCTCCAAGGACGTTGATATTTTGTTTCAAAAGCTGTTGGTTGTTTTTGAGATACAGCAGTAAGTAGTTTATAAAGGGACAGAGAATTAAAAAGAACAGAGTATTCACCTTAAAATTAAATTGTTTGAGAACCTGGTTCTCATTAAAGGAAGTGTTTCTAAGAAGTTCCAGATAGCTTAGAGCATTATTGCATGTCTCTTTCATTTTGTCTCTTTCACTTTATCAAGTAATCAGTACAATGCTTTATTGCTTAGTGAAAGCCTAAAGACTATTTGCATTGCACAAAATTAAAGTAATGCTGTCTTTTTAAATGTATTTACTTAAAAAACATTTTAAATATCAAACATTACATTTTATGGGCTTAAAAACAAATCAATTAAAATGGGCAATATTAGCAATTTCTAAAAGGGACAACTTACAGAGAAATGAATCCTATTAAAACAGAAGTTTCTCTTTCTTTAGCATCATTTTAAATCAAGAACCAGGACAGTCAGTGCTTCTCTGTTCTAGTAAAAATACCTCTTCTGGTCTTGCATAATGTTTTTAGAGGTTGAATGAATTATTTTCATTTATGTATATGTAAATATGACAGCTAGATACTTTTCAAAATACATCCAAGGACTGTAGCTACTTCTTGATTTCAAACAACAATATAATTCAAAATTAAGCCTGTTTTTCAATAAACAGTGACTTTCACTTTAAATAAGCTTTTGTCTAGGGTAGCATTTAATGGTATACTGATAGAGTGAGTCAGGAAGTATGTGCTGATACATTTCAAATTCTTTCCAAAATTATTGAGTTGTGTTTGCAAGATAAATAGCAAAAGTTATGTTCTTTGGTTCTGAACATCCACTTGGCTGTTCTGAATTGCCTGGTCAGAGGTAAGTTACATATTTTCATATGTAACGGGCAATATTCTTAACAAGAACGTTGAATTTCTCAAACACACTCTACAATTTCAAATAACCTGAATTTTGTAAAAATACATTCTAAAATGTATATGTGACATTCAAGCCAACGATCTAACCTTCAGACTTGTATTAAATCATCGCTACTTTTTGTTGTCTTCAGGCTTCCCTACCCTGTACACGACAGCTCACAGATTCTAGCTATTCGAAATTCCTGCTATAGACAACACATTGATGCAATTAGGACTTACTATGAGAAAGAGCATCAGAACTGGTGTGTGATTGATGCCTTTCACAGCAAGTGGTGGATCTGGAACAAAGTACTCCAGGAAGTTCAAGCGGTTGCTAAAGAAATCCAGATATACCTGGAAAGAATAAGAGAAGGTAAAAGAAAAACAAAGTTGCTCAAAATAATGTTCATTTCTTTAAGAAGTTGTACTGTAATGAGTGTATTTAAATTCAATTTTAACTTCCTCTGGATTAAGCTAATTCTTGAGCTCATGCATACCAACCGCAGCTGGAATTAAGGTTCATAGCACATTTCACTTATTAGACGTAACAAAAAACCCATAAGAAAATAACACTGAAAAGACAAAACGCCCAACACCTGCCTCATTCAAGGCTGATGTATCTAGCACCTGGTCTACGTGACAAAATGCGTTATGAGTTAAAATGAGTTAACCAATACAATGTTAACCAATACACAGTTGAAAGCTTAGTATAGACAAAAACATAATGTTATTTGTGAAATCTGGAGTTAAAAACCTGACAGTCCTTGTTTTCGCTGTGCCCTTGGTATATCTTCTGCGTATTTCCACCCATAGATTAGATTTGTTCATTACAGCTTCTACCTTTCGCCTTGGCATTCTATAGCTGTCCAAACGCAAGGCCTTCTTCTAATATAAAATCTTGTATCATTCATTCCAGCTATAACAGCAGACAAATGGATGTGAGCATCTCCAAATCTTCTGAATCTAAAATTTTCTTTAAAGTTCAGTGTCTTCACACTTATTAGGTAGCTTTACGGGTTGATAAGTTTAGATGTCAAACTTAGTGTAAGACTAGCTAGGAAAACAGTAACTACTGGAAAAAATAGTTTAACTTGATTATGCTTGTGTAAAGCACTGGATTGCATTTTAAGTACTTGGTGGGCTATACAAAAGAGGACTTTCTTTCTAACAACTCCTTTGTTGCATCTGCCTTCTGAGAGTATGTGAAGAGTGCCCAGGTGGATTGCAGGTTCCTTAATTAGCAGAGGCTCTTCATGGAAAAGTAGCAACTAGGCAGTAGTCCTTTGTCTTTAGTAGGTCATCGGAAACAATAATGGGTAAGACTTTGAGGTCTTAGGTGACCTTATCCTTTGCAGTGGTACAGAGATGGAGTGCTGCATTTTTCCCAGACCTCTCAATGCCAGAGCCAATATCATGCAGCACTGCAGACGCTTTGATCTCATCTGGAGAGACCTTGAAGAGCTCTCTTGAAGAGAGCAAAGGGCAAACCAACTACAGAACAACCCAAGACTGTTGTCCAAAGAACAAGGTAACAGAAAAGAACTGAAATAAGTTAGAGGTCTTGTACTCCATAGGAGATTCCTCAACTTTAGGTGATTACAGAAGATCAGATAGGGTATACCAAAGCACACAGGTTTGCATGGGAGCATGGGAGGTTGGACTAGATGATCTCCAGAGGTCCCTTCCAACCTAAACCATTCTGTGATTCTGTGATACGGGAAGAACCATGATTTCAAGATGCACCTAAGGGAAGGAGAATATTCATTAGAAATTCAGAATTAAGGTTAAATATGCAATTTAAGTTAATTTCTGCACTGAAGGACCAAAAACTCTTTAGTCTAAAATGGCGTAGCTCCCACCTGAATTTGTGTGTGTCAGCACAGAAAGGATTAAACGTGCGCCTCAAATATGCCTGGGCAGCTTAACTAGACTTCCACTGAAGGGCAGACTTCTTTATCTTAAAATCACCTTTTGATTTTACCTTTTACAGCTCTGTGCCTGCACTCTCCTTATAAATTTCAGTCATACAAAAATATTTTTAACTTTTTCAAATCAAGCTTGAAAAGCAGCCTTTTAAAATATTTTTATCTGACATTTTATGCAAGATCTTGAATTTATTACATCCAGATAGACCACGGCATTTGCAAGACAAGGATGAATAAAGGATATGCTTTTATAACACCTTTTACTCATTTTCACCAATGTAAAGAATTAAAATAATAGCTGAAATGTTCCTTTGCAGCACAAAGAAAAATGAAGCAATAAATCACTAATAAACCTATCCCAGAGAAAACAGACTAATAAGTTAAGCATGTAGAGTATCCCACATCATTAATACTTATTATATTCCTTAAGTAAATGCTAGAGAAATGTCACTAAAATTAATCAGTAAAATAGGTTGAAACTTTATTTTAATATCAGTTCATAAAAATTTGCTAATATTTGAATTCTTATTATTTCATATCATTTTCACGATATAATAATCTTCTAAACTGTAACATTCCTACATAGAAATGCTTTATGCTTTCTGTATATTTCCTTAAGAAAAGTTTATCATTAATTACTACTATTAACAGGGAAAGCAGCCAGCATTGCTGATTTATGCATCACCCCTGAAGAGCTGCGGTATCGACTGGGGGAGTTTGGACAGTACTGTCCTGTCAGCCTTGCAGAAAGAGGTGAATTGGTCGACTGCTCTGTAACCTCATCACTGCAGTTTGCTGCGGAATTTCGAGGACACTATTACAAAATGGCTTCACAGGAAGAATTGGATGTAAGTGTCCAAAAGCACGTGGGGAAGGAGTTATGGGGAGAAGGAACATTATTGCTCTGAGTCTTTGATTCTGTACAGAAACAACACCACAGCATTTGAATTAGACTAGTGTTATCGGTATTCTAGCTACTCCTCTGTATACTCCTGCTATCAAACGTCCAGTCAGACAGAATTCAGCAGAGAGTCCTTTCAAACCAAAGATCCCCTTACAAATTGTCATAGATCAAACATTCATTTTCAAAGCAACCATTTCCTCCCTCTTCCATTTGTCTTTGGTGGGGCGGATGGGGTAGAAAGTGACTAGTAATGGCCATGGATACTGGATGGACGCTGGGTGGGTAGTGATGTGGTGAGTGGACTGGAAAAGAAATGACCTACTTGGCGTGGCAGCAGCATTAGCACACTAAGAGAAATTTTGTAGAAGAAACAGAGGAGTTCTAAATTGCATGAACCAGTCCTTCGGAGTTTGGCTAACAGTCTTATAGTGCTTCTCTCGTTATTAAAATGTTTAATTTCTTCTACAGAAATTCTTGAATGAACCAGCAGTATATGTACCACCACTGGCACCTCATCCTCTTCCACCTCCAGAAATGCTACCAAAGAAACTGACAGTGGCAGAAGTGAAGGCCTTATTCCCTAGAAGTGCTGAAATGCAGGGGTACTGTCCCGTCACTTACCTAGATGGAAAACGGAGGTACACCACTGCAGTCTTCATAACTTAATGTTACAAACTATATGTCCTAGAACCCCAGAATACAAACAGCATGCTTGACCTAGCCTTATCCAAACTTCTCCTCCATTTCTCCATTAGTTTTATTGCAGTAGTGGGTGTTAAAAACATTGTTGCTTTCACTGTAGAAGATGCCTCATTAGTCTTTTTTCTGAGGCTGAAAAATATCACCTATCAACTCCCTTTTTGTCATGGTCTAGAGTATTTCTAATAACTAGACTGAGGCACAACCTGAAGCATCCTGAAGGTTATCAGTTCCTATACATCTGTATAGGAAGCAGACTGTAATTGAAAGAAGCAGATGTGTTGAGTTTCTCTCAAAAATCCTGCAATAGAGCTGAGAGACAGACCTAAGTAGTAGGAGTTTATGTTGGCCAGATGATCACCTCTTGCAGAGGGAAAGACATGTAAGCCATAAGTTCCTTAAATCTGGGATTCTTTCTTCTTTTGTGTCTTGGGTAATGGTAATTTACTTAAATCAGCACTCATTCAAATGCATTGGATCCCCTTCCGCAAAGCTGACTAAAGGGGACAAAGCTTAGCTTTCAAGAGAACACTAAGCCGATCACAAGGACCTGTGTTGGCTTACTGTCTTTTGTGATATAGTCTGCTTGGATATAGTTTGAGTTTTCTCTATGATAAGCCTTCAAAGTTCAAACAAATCTCACAACACTTAAGGAGAGGCAAAACTAGCTACCACATTTTTTTAAGAGATCCATCAAGCTCCACTGTAAAGCCTCACTGATTTTTTCAGTGTGCAGGAATTTCTTATTGAGATACAACCATAGCAGTCATTTCTATGCTGTCCCTTCTTAGTCTCCTAAATAAGCATGGTTGGCATTTTAGCCAGAGGAGTTCTAAAGAGGCACTATAAAAGTTCACTTATAAGCAGATTTTGAGGCAGGGTCTCACTCACATTTTGAGCCTTGTAACTGTTTGTCATGTGGTAGAAGCACAGATGATCTAATTGCTCCCTTTTTTGTAATTTCTAAACTTGCTAGATTACCAGAAGGCTCCCAGTATCTCATGAATATACACAGCACAAATGATGCCTAACGTTTCTTGTTGCTCCATCTCTTCAGATACGAAGCTTTGGTGCCTGGCAACACTGAGAATGCTGTAAAATATCAAGATAAGGTATATATTTTTGAAAGTGAAGAAAAACTTCAGAAGTTCATGAGGTGAATATACTATTCACATTTTAATCTTTAATCATTTCATAGTTTATACATCTTGAAAGTCCTTACTTTTTATCTGGTTAGGTTACCAGAGAAGTACTGGAATTTGAAGCTTCCACGCAAACTCCCTCCAGTAAAGGAGCCAATACTACTTACTGCACTTCCCCTAGCTGGATACCTTGAACAGGTCAGTTTTTGCCTCTCTAGATCAAATCAAATTTTAAAAAACATGATTTTACAATGTATAACATACTACATCCAGTTTTGGGGGGGCAGTTCTTTTTTAATGTAATATAAGTATTATTTTTACTAATTGCATTATATTTAATTGAAAATTGTGTTCAGGTAGGTACTTGCAATTAAGAGAGGAAATTTTAAAAAGCTTTACAATGATAGATGCTCAAAACTTAAATAGAAAAAAATAAGTAAGATCATCAGAGGGGAATAATAAACTGCAACATTATATGATGAATTTTATGACTCTTTAGTTTATCGTATCTAATATGATTACATTTTGCTTTGATTTTTAACACAGGTTAGACACAAACCTATGAGGAATGGTTTAAGGATAGTTATTAATACTTTTAGACAGGGATAGGAAATAAAAAATGATTCAAGGTCTCTTCCCTCCCTATTTTCTATCATTTCTGTGATCTTCTACAGTTCACTGGCTTAGATAGCATACTATATGGTTGGATTTGCATGACAGCAGGATCAGGCTTTTAATATATTTTTGTTCTAGATCACTGTAATGGTCTTTAAAAAACTGTTTTATTTCTTTAGGGAGTAGCAACTTCTCTAATTAAAGCTCTGAATGAAGTAGGCTGCTTAAAGCCAAAGTTTCCATTCCTGAGCGTAAAAAAAACTGCTCTGCTGTTTATCGCCTGTCATTTAAAAGGTAGAGTATAAAAATAACATCCTATAAACATAATGACTCAAATAAATGCAATAAATCATCTGATATAACATTGATGACTGATTTCTGTAGTTTTCTGATGTCCAGTTTGGAAAAATACTGCTATATACTGATTTAAGTACACATTGCCAAGCCTCTTGGAAATGTGTAAGGACCAAGGAAGAAAAAAGGCTAACAGGATAGCTAGATATTTTGTGATTTCTCATAAAAACATGAGATTTTAATAGTATTTTATCACCAGTCTCCCCCCTGGAAGCTTCCCTCCTTGGAAACGTTTCTAACATGCACGATAGTAGCTTGAAACAAAAAGCAAAACTGTTTAAAACTAGGTGGCACCAAAGTTTAAACTAGTCTTGGACAACCTGAATTATCTTAAAATTTGACTGAAATCACTATAATAAAGACTGCTGAAATGTTTAATAAATCTGAAGAATGGCCTAGGTGCCTGTATGCTTTTCTTTTCCCACTATATCAGTTCATCAGATAAAATTTACTAACAAACCTTGCCTTGCAGGTAATCTCAGCAGAGCTTTCTATTCATACGTATCTTCCACAAGAGGTCTAATTGTTTTGGAAAACAGCTTTACACACAGAATACTTGTCCCTTTGAAGATTATTTCTTTCGCAAGAGCTCAGTATTGATGCATTAAATTACGCAGTTTAAAAGAACAGATGCCCATGCAGATTTAGGTAGATTTTTCAGTTTCAGCACAGTGAAATGAGAAGATACTTATCAGTCTGTTTATTTGTGAAATGATCTGGGAAGATTTCAATTTTAATGAGATTTGGAGTATCAGTATGCTGATTATTTTTAACTCTATATCTTTTCAATTTAAGCTACAGTCTCATCACCTTACTTTTCCGTAACATAGATAAACAGTCCACACATAAAATTGGGTGGCTTGGATTGAGCCCACAAAATAAAGGAAAATGCCTCATGTTGCTGCCAGAGGTTAGGCTTTCTCCTTCAATGAGGAAAGTTGTTCAAACTTTGTCTCCTGTGTTTCTATCAGCTCTTGGTTTGTTTTTTGTTTTGAGGTTTTTTTTTTCAGTCCAAGATAACAGTTGCAGCTAAAAATCTTATCAGCTTAATAGGGATTTCAGGATTTCCGCAGCCCAGTTTCAGCAGCCTAGTGGCTTTGGTCTAGATATTGATCAGTGCTGCTAGAGATGTCTAGAGCAAGACTGTGCCACTTCTTCAGCCTTACCAATTTTGCCTTTTACAAGCCAGCTTGTTCAGCGGGTGAACTTTATGTTACCTTTTGTTATTTTAAGGTTTTGCTTATCCTTCTAGATAATGCCAAGTTTTATCATCTTTCTAAAGTTCTTTGCATTCTGTGTTTTCCCATACAGCTTCCAGAGCTCTGCAGAATTTTCTTGGACTATCACAGATTTCCGCTAGTATAGCTTTGTTAACGATCACCACTGAATAATGTAGGCACACTATAAGCCCCTATACCTGCAAAACTACGTTTTTTCCCACCAAAGCTTGTTTCATTCACAAAGAGTAATATCATTCTACTGTTAGCATCACTTTGCTAACATATCTATATGTCCACTCTAGGAATGCTTTGCTCATATATAGTATCGTCAAATCATTATTAGTGCTGGATAAAGACCTGGGTAAGTTTGTGCAAGTACATTAAACTCCTCTCCTCATGCAGTAACAAATGATTGGACCATAAGTATCCAAGAATGCAAGTCATTTTTTTCTAATCCTGGAGAGAATTGCTTGTAACCTTAAGAGAGAGTTCCAGTACGCTCTGAAAATGTCCCTTGCAAATACAGTGTTGATTATTACTGTGTGCCTCTTCAGAGTAGTCATGCAGTTCATGACCAGAAAATTGATCAAAGAGCTTCACATTGGGGTCCCTTGGAATTTTTTTAAATTCTATTTTTATCTGAAGTAAGATTTTGACATCCTCAACGTGTGTCACCCCTTCATTTCACATTTAGATAGTGGAGAAGGAGCAGTGGTTGTGGTTCCTCCTGAAACGTTTTAACAATAGTACTTGATTTTCAGTATCCAAGAAGAGTAGGCCATCATTCACAAATGCAGACATTTACTCCTGGAAAAGAGTAGGAAGCCGTACCTCATTATAGTGATTCAGTGCCCTTCAAACTTGACTCCTCTAACAGCTCTGCTTATAGTTCTGATTGAAAAAACACCGAAGAATTGTAGAATGCTTACATTTTCAACTTAATGGGCTGATGTATCTCACAGTATAATTCTCCATGCTGTCCAGTTTTTGTTATAATTTGTGATGTAAAGTACCATCTACAGAAAAGCAGCTGCCTAGGATTTCGCTGCCTTACATCACCATTTCCCCTTTGCCTCAGTGTAACAGTTAAAATAATACAGATTAATGGATAGGCACTCACCACTGATGTACCCCAGAATATGGCTTAGAGCAGGGAGGTAAGGAAGAACAGAAACAGCACAACTTTCATTGTAACGTTCCTGGCGTTGGAATTTATGTTCTCTTCTGAACTATCAGGGATATATAGTCAGCTTTTGGATTTCTATGGGCAGTGTATTTGGGTCATAGAGTAAGCGTGTCAAGGATGCAGAAATTCCTAAGACGGCGCTGTGCAGCGCCTGTTTGAGTCCGGGCCAACGTATCAGCTTACACATCATGGTACAGAAATATGGTCCCACTGCTTTCAGCGAGCTCAGGTCTAGGGAAAGTTCAGCTGTCAGAGGGAACTGGAGCTGGCTCTGCACAGCCGCTTTTCCCCCTTCCATTGCATTTTCATTGCGGAGGACAGAGAAAAGCAGCACAGAGAAAGCTGCGTAGCTCTGCGCAGAGCGAGCTGGAGCACAGCACGAGCGGTACTGAACTTCTGAAATAGCAGACAATTTCTGTCGTGGCTTTGGAATCAATGGACATGGGCCATCTGTGCCACGAGTTTTATCTGTACAAAGAGTAAAAATATCAGGTGTGGATGTGATCTATGTTTTAAAATTTCTGTATTGTAATTCCACAGAATTAACATGCAACATTAATATATTGCTCGATTTCTTGCAGCTTATAACCCTAGAAGCTCAGAATATGTACGGAAAAAGTACAAGAGGAAACTGGAGCAGTTCAAGGATCACTGTGAACTCATCCCCTATCTGGGAAGGAAAATGACAAGCAAATACAAAGAACCTCAGAGCAGACCTATTGACTTCGATCACAAATTACAGACATTTCTTTCCCTTAAAGATGCAAGCCCAAGTTTTGGTTAGTTTGGATTGCCTGTGTATTTTTATTTAAACATTGATTTTTATTAATTCAAGGAAAATAACTCTCCACCATCATCAACCATCCTGTATCAAGCATTCATGAGAGGCTACCCATAAAGCTATAACGTTACTGATGCAAAATGTTGCGCTTTTTATGACTAGTTTGTTATAAAGAGAGATCTTTTAAAATTACAACTTACTGTCCTAAATTACACGGCGGTTAACGCGTAGTACCATAATCCAGGCACGCTGGAAATACGTGGCTTGGGGAAAATACCTGAAGAAACCGCGTGCACAAGCGTGAAAACCCCCCAAAATACAGCACCGCCCGAAACCCGCCGCGGCGCTACCGGG